TGAACTTGCTCCCCTCCCTTGATAAGCAGCCCTTGGGAGTGGAGGGGTTTGAGGATCTTCCTGATTCTCAATGAGCTCCTGCATGTGATCCAGACCCACAAACCTCCACTAAAGAGCATAAAGCTCTCTAAGGCGATCGCTGCTGCTGTACTGAACTTGTCTGCTGGCAGCCTCCAGGTCATAGGTAACCTCACCTTTACACATCAGCATCAGTATTTGATAACACATTAAACATCGTTGAATGTTTTAAGGTCCTTGACATCTGCTCAGGTGTTTCGTGCTCACTGATGTTAATGACTGCATATCTTCTCCATGTTGTCTTCCTCAGGGGACTGGTGGTCCTCACTGCCATCCTCCACCATGACTAAACATGTTGAGGTATGGAAGCAGGCCCTCTCAGTGATCCTGTCCGACGAACCTTTTAATCGAAACTCAGAAGTCAGAAACCTGCTACTTGTCCTCCAGTATATGTACAACGTGAGTATCCGTTATTAGCTGACTTTTTACGAATGTCATTGAGCATGAACCAGTAATCCTACTCATTTTTTACTTTTCACCTAAAACATTTTGTTTTTCAGGCAAACCACAGGACTGCAGAACCTCAAAAGATGCCAGAAAGCAAATTCTGTTTGTTGATGAAAAAAGAATTTCTTCTTCAGGATCTGCAGCTTTGGCGTTCACGGTCACAAAGCAAGGTAAAAATAAAATAAAAGTGCACTTACTCTTATACACACTCACTCAAGTACACACACTTCTAAACTCAATATCCTACTGTATGTTTTTTCCCTTTCAGAAGAATACTGAGCCACTTATCCTTTGTAGCTTTCCGTCTGTGATGGACCTGGAGTCGAAGAAATATGTTTTTGACCGGAATGCTGAATACACCAAGGTAACTCAAGCCTTGTTCTGTACCTCATGAAAATACGCCTTCACACACAATAAAGTCAGGTCAAGAAATGTCCACGTAAACCTGTTTCATTGTGTATCAGCTCTGCCTGATGAGTATATGTTTTCCATGTGACAAACACAGTGAAGTAAGCTGTCAATTACACAACAGAAACATTTTAAAATAAGCAATAAGAAATTAAATCTGTAATTGTCCTGTGTACCAGAATGAAGCACAGCCACCTGTCTTCTGGGAATTCTTTTGGGCATGTGGACTCCCTATGCCTCAAGACATGGTTTTTGAAGTTGACGTGATGCGAGGATCAGTTTTGAAAGACACCTTTGAACATTTGGCTTCTATAAATCAGAGTGACTACAAGATTCCACTTGTGGTAATAAACATGCAGTTTTATTCTGCTTAAAGTCACACAAAAAATCTTGCATCATTGTTTATTGAGCTGCTGTATCATTGTTTTGCCTTTCATCTTGTAGGTTTATTATGATGGAAACTTGCCCCGCTGGGACGATTTTTATGGCTACGTGAAAGACTTTTTTTACGAAGTGTTTCACGAGATGGTTTCAGCTGAAACCGGGATGTTCATGTACAATGACTCCAAGACACTGGCATGGTTCCCATCCAAGGTAAGACGATATGTATGCAATGATAAAAAGGATCCAATGATCATACCACAAAAATAATTGTCATCCTGGTATTTCTCCACTTTTCTGTTGAAAATTGTCTCTCCGAACAACACCAGGCAGCACCAGAGGACCAGAGGTACCTACACTTTGGGGTTCTGTGTGGATTGGCCTTGTACAACCAGTGTATCATTCACTTACCATTCCCACTGGCTCTGTTCAAGAAGCTGCTGGGTGTGAAGCCTTCACTGGGGGATATGATGGAATTCAGCCCCTTTGTTGGAAAGTAAGGAAATTCATTTAAATCACACACATTTTGGGTTTGGCGTGCAGATTTTTGGTCATAATACAGTACATTGTAAAGCATCTTTAAAGTCTTAAATATAATTCCTTTTATCGGGTTTCAAGGGGTCTGAAGAACATTCTGGAAGACTACACAGATGATGAAATAGGAATCCTCGACTTGGATTTCTCAGTATGTGTTTTACAGTCTTCATCCTCTTTCTGATATCCATCTGACAACGGATAGTTATTTCCCAAAGCTGTGATTTCACCTTTTTCTGTTGATCACCAGATCAACTGGGATGGAACAAACGTTGACCTTGATCCTCAAAATCCTGAGAAGCCTTTGACTGGTCAAAATAGGTACAGTAAGATTGTTTTGTTATTTGTCATCAGATTACAATCTTAAATAGTATGTAAATCAACATCTTGGGTTGGGACTAAAAACGTTTAAAATGTATGTTTTCGAATCGATCAGGCTAGGCTAAGCTACACCGTTATAGCCGCGCCATTCGCTTGATTATCGCCACCCAGGGCGAATTCACATTTATCTGCGTCTTCACATTGACCTTATATGTAGCCCTGCAAAGGTTGCTTCGCACCCAGTGTGAACGCACCATCAGGCTTATATTGTAGAGAACTATAAAAGAAGAGAAATGACTAAAACAATAAGCTTAAAGATACAATATAACTTTGTAGACAGAATTTCTCATAATTCATTGCTTTTACCTGCTAGGTCAGAAATACCTTTAAAATCAAATCATTTATTTCTGCCGCTAACCCAGTGGTTCTCAAACTTTTTCTGTCAGGCCCCCCCTTTGGAGAAAAAAAAAAGTCGGGCCCCCCCAACACAAATAGTCAGGCTCAGTGGCGGCGCCAGAGATTCTATTTTGGGGGTGCTGTGGGGTAGCTTGACGTTTCATAGAGGGTGCTCAAACATTTAGGGTTTCCCATTAATGTACTGGTCGCTACAGTGGAATGTTCTACTGCACAATCCCCACACACACACACACAC